GACAAAGAATGCATTTAATAATTTTAAGGGTAGTGTTTATCAAAAATAGCTTTACACTCTCTTCCTAATAAAGACATGAAACTAGCTGAGATATTCAGACAGATACACTTGCAATCTTCCATCTCATGTTTAATTTTACCTAATTAAAAGATAAACTTCTAATTCTGATTGTCATAAACAAACAAACCAAGCAAAAATATTTGGTGCTGGAATGCAGTCACAAAAATTCTCTAGGATCCTTTCAGAACTGCTCTGTTTCAAGGGGTGCTAGATCAGATGACTGATATTTTCATCAGAAATAAGAGGAGTGCAAATATCTTATTTTAAATTTCAACAGCAGGATTTCTCAAAATGTGGAGGACTGAGGAGGAGGTAAAACTATGGAAAATGCATTTATGGCAGCCTCGAAGTAGCACCTTGAATGAAGCAAAGTGACGCAGAGTGCCCAGGCAGTGTGAAGGAGAGCCCTTTCTTGCAAAAAGCAGGCCTTTTTAAGCAGTTAGCCAGTTATCAGTTTACACACTTTTAAGGCACAACAAACCCAAGTCAGCCAACCACAGTACACCACAATGTGGCCACACAGAATGTTTCTTTACCCCTGTTCCAGCTGAGTCGCTCTCCCATAGTTCCCTTCTATTTAGCCAAAGTGGCAGGCCTGAGCCACGATTTTACAAGGGTAACAAGGCCCTTATTTTATATATGCAACAGCACCTGAATTCCATATGAACTATAATGATCTACTTTTAGAAAATTCTTAATGATCTACTTTTAGAAAATTCTTATGAGAAAGAAAAAATACCATTTTTCTGATTTTATCATGAATTAAATTTAAATTGTCTGAAAGTTGACACAATGTCCATTGTCACTTGCTTATATTTTGCTAGATTTAACCTAAGTGGCAGGGGATCAGTGAGAAGTTGCAACAACACCGTTCACGTCAAAGAAAGCACATCTGAAACTACTACTATATATGTACTTTTCAATCTCTAGTTCTTTTTCCTTTTAAATGCTGGATATTTGTTATCTAGCACTCTTCAGGGTGTGCTGAGGTTCAATCACAAAAATACTCTGAAGAAAAGTCCTAAAATGCTGTACAATCTAACTTCAAATCTAGAACTTGCCAGTTTTCCTATTAAAAATATAAAGGAATAGTGCTTTGGTTCTTAACATAGAACAGAACTCAAATCCTGAGGTATAATAAATAAAGAGGATTCAAAGAATCCATAGTAAGACTTCCCTCAATGGACCAAAAAACCTCATTACAGCATTAACAGATAATTCCAAAGCCGCTCTTTGGAATACATAAAAAGTACTGTATTTGGAGACATATATTTATACATGCATCCACATATTGTTCTCCTTTTCTCCTGTCAAATTATCAACATTTTGCAAAGCAGTAAGAGTGGATCAGCTTATATAATCAAATTAAATCCAAAGAACACCTTTTTAGAGAGGAATGCTTCCTACAATGAGTTAAATCTGTGCTATAGCTTTTCTGTCCTGATGCCACACGTTGACCGAGTTCTCCTTACAATGCTATCCAAACTCCATGTGTACAGCATCACAAATTACTGAAAATGAGAACAAGCCTTCTCAAAGACCCCACAGAAAGAGCCCAACTTGTACCTGGGCTCACATGTGTGCAAATTTCAAGACACACACAAGTTGAGAGAACCTAACTTTAATACCTGACTTCTCGTACTGCTGTGTCTGGTATAATGACAGAAGCTGAGCTCCAAAATACATTTTTAAGTGACATGGAACGAAAACTCTTAAAGGCTCTTTAGTAACTGTCAAAGCTGTTTCCAGTAGGACACCATATTAAAGTCCTTCAGTTGCACAGTATTCTTCCACACACAAAAAACACATTGAAATCTGGAATTTCACAGCTTATTTTTTTTAGCTGAAGGCAATGAACTCTATTCTTGGTTTTTGTGAATTCTGAAAACTCAGAACTAGAAAGTGAACTACAATTTGAATTTCAGTTTTAAATTAATCACAGTGTTCTCCAGAGGTAATATTCACTCTAAGTATAAAAAATACATATCTCTGCATTCATTGGCTGAAAAGAATTTGAATAATTCAGTATATGGAACAGTTCCTAGTATATCTATTAAGACGTGCATTAAACTGACAATAATGTGATGGATCAGTTAATACCTAATTAATGTTCATTAATAAAGAAATTTTAAAACTTTGGTACATGCAGTGCAGAAGGCTGATATTCTGCAGTTTATTAACACCAAAAGTGCAGAGCAAAAAGATTATTTTTTCTTGTTATCATTCAGACTTAAAAGCATCAACAAAACACAGCACTTGGAGTCCTAATTAAGTACAATAAAACATAAGCTGGAGCTGTGACATTTAACAAAACTTCATAGCTCTAGGGACCTTGTCTTGAACAGGAGTTTGAAATATGAATGAATTTGCAATTCCAACAACACTTAAGCTGAGCTCAAGGTTGGAAATATGAGACTGAAAAAATATGAGAAGGTTAAACAAAACACTAAGGCAGAAGCACAACACAAACTTATTTGAAAAGCTGAGTGATGTTTTTATCTATACAGGTCTTAATTATTGTAAAAAGAATGTGCTAACAAAAAGGCATGCATTTGAATTATCAAACACCAGGATAAAAAATAAAGACATATAATATGACTGATTAAATTCATGGGGAACAGAAGTAGGAAGAAAGCAGCAAAATTATTCAGAAGTATTCTGAATAATTTAAGAGAGTAAGATGACACTAAAAAGAAAATTAAAACTAAGGAAACTGGATTTTCAATAGCAAGAGTATTTTTTTTTCATCTCAGAGGAAACTAAAAAAGGTGACCAACAAATCCTTACTGCACTCTCAGATAAGCCATAATAAACTTCAAGAAATTTGATGGAAGGTAGGGAAGAGTGGGGTGTTCCCCCCTCGAATTATGAGACTGGAAAGAGTAACTTTTTTTTAAGCATATTTCAGGAATGCCTTAAACTCTTCAAAGAGCATACAGTAAGTTTATTACCTAAAACTATATTTGAATAGAGAAAAAATATTTAAAGACCTGCCATCTCTCACAACATTTTGAAAGCATTCAAACACTTCACCTTTCCTCTATTTTTTTTTCTTTCTACAGAAATTAGGATTTTTTTTTTTTGTTCCAGTATCTATTTGATTTTACGAACATCTTTTTCTTTCTAAGTGTCTCAAGGAACCATTTTGGAGGCTGAAATAATCACACCTTCTCTTCAGAAATCTTCAATACATGACTGATGCATCTGCCATCCTTTTATCTTTTCCACAGTTTCCCCTGGAATTTTTCTGTCTCTTCAGTTTCAGCTGAGTTCTCACTGCCTGCTATTATTTTGCTGCCTTCACTTGGGAAAAATCATCCTTCATGATGAAGAAACTTCCCTTACTTCCATGCCTATTTTTACCTGTGTATTCTTCTCTAAGATTCGGTTATTTCTGCCATGTCAGAGCATACAGTCAAGAATATCAAGATATGTGTGATTACAAAAAGGGAAAGATTATATTGGTACTTACCTGGCTCTGACTGTGGAGAATGAATGTATCTTCTAGATGAGAACATAACTGAGGCTTTTAATTTTTAAATGTATCACATGAAAAAGGTGTGTATGTGCTTAAAACTGTTGTAGCAGCAGACTAATTTAAGAATTTTTAACATTTGTGATCTCAGAGGCATATTTGTGTATTTTTCTCATAGAAAAGGTCAAAATCTGTAGAAGTCCAAACATTACCAAGCATCCATTCGGGTTTTCTTCTGCAAATCACAACTGTTTGCAAGGCACATGGAATTTTACAATAAAACATGTTACACCAGTGTCCAGAATTGTTCACCATTATTCCCCTCTTGATGAACTTGCAGGAAAGTTTGTTTATATCCTGGGAGCATCAGCCCCTTCTCCCTCCATAGCATATAGGCAATTTCCACCAAACTAAAGAACCAGATTTACAGAAGAGCCAGTGGTCAAAACTTAGTGTGGTAAGGAATGGTGTATTTTTAAAACATTTTAATACTTCTCTCAGTTCTTTATAATCCTGGACATTGTGTGAAGCTTTCTCATTAAAAAAAAAAAAAAAAAAAAAAAAAGAGAAAAGGGAGAATATTTAGAATACACCAAAATCTTCTCAATCCATGGAAAAGCAACCCATCTAATCATAAAATGTGGTTGGCAAGTTCACCACACCTCATTTTGTTTTAACAAAACTTTCAAATCTCATTTCTAATCATGTGTGAAGAGATCCACTATGCTTAAACAATGGACAGAAAAGAAGAAAATTAAAATAGTTTATGTCTTGTAATACAGAGGAAAATGCTCTGTGACACAAGCCACCCATTTTTTTAACCTTTTAAGGACTGGTCCAAATAACATCAACTAGAAAGAAAAAGGCAAGTCATAACATACAAAAATTTCTCATCTGGTTTGAAATCCTCAGAAAACTGTTAGTATTGATTTTCAAAGAAAACCCACAGAAAATAACTGTCATGTTTTTGAGATAGAGATCAATACAGGTATCACAAATCACTTAAATAATTAGAAGTGAGAAATTTTTCTTGAAATATTGTTTATCCTCCATAATGTAACACTTTCACACAATGCATTTATCACCCTATTATGTTCAAGAGATGGTTAAGAACACTTAATTCTAGCAAAACTTTGCTCATTTTATATTCCATCAGCCCACTATGATTATGCTGTTAGACTGTTCCAGTTAGTGACAGCTTAAAAAGCACAGCAGTATTCTGACTAGTAAACACATAAAAAGCAAATTACTTAGCTGCTAATGGAGCTGTTCCAAATGGGATACAGAAATAAATACATTCCATCTGCAACGCAGTGGGCAAAAAATTAAAGATATCCAGTGGTTATTATTTGTATATTTAGAATTTCCTTGCAACAAAAGAACTTGCACATGTCGTGCAACAAAGCCTCACACAAGGCTGAGCTGAGAAAACCTGCAGAGCTCAGCAGCACTCACACCTACTTACTCAAATCTGAGAACATCACAGCTGTATTCCCCACAAATCTCCAGCTAGTCCTCAGGTGCCAAGCTGTCCTTTGGAGCCAGTCATGGCTTTCCATGTCATGCAACCCAGCACTCGTAGATTAGCACACCTAATGCAAAAGATTCTGCTTAGTCAATGATCTAATGTCTACATTTAAGAAGGCAGGATTAATGTCACATAAGGAACCTGCTTTATGCAAGACTCAATATTCAACTAAACTTATGTTTCCTTTGTAATTATGTCCAGAACTGAACTGTTTAAAATCATGGTGAAAGCCAAATCTGCTATAACATGTATCTAAAAATAAGAACTTAAATCCTTCTTAAAATGAAAGACTGCAGGGGTAAAATAAAAAAAAAATAAAAATCGTGTCCACTGCTTTGGAACTTTTCTACTTAGGACCAACAGCAAAGTCACCACTTTTCAGTAAAAATATAACCAAATCTCATTGAACAGTTTCTTTCTTTACCAAGCAGATGGGAATTTTTATTCTGTGGATAAATGCATCCAGAGAATCTGAAACAAGCTCCCCTGCATTGATTCTACACCACTGCGCAGAGGATTAGCTCATCAGATTTAGACTTTCAGTGGCTACCAGATGAGGGACATAACACATGACACACTGCTCTTCCAATGGACTGAAAATCTAAGATAAACACTTATCTTTAAGAAATAAAAATTAGTTGAGTTAGGATTTAGAAAGCTTCCATTTGCATCACTTAGTATTTACTTAAAAGATCAATACCATGAACTACTGGGACCTAATAAAACAGAGTAGTTGAGACATAAACCTCTTAAGAAATCAAATTAAATTCTTCCAAATTACAGGCACAATACCTAAGCTTTTAAGAAGAAAGTAGTGCATGTATTATTGCTGCTTCTTTCTATCTGCTTATATCCCAAAATCTCTGGCATCAGGATGAGGAATTCTCCATGTTCTTCATCATTAAAGATATTACACAAATGCTTTCTAAGAGTAAAACTTTCATGAGCTAGTCTTACTAGTAATTTTCAGTACTTTAATTAATATGTTCCACTTTAAAAAATTACAGGAAAAATTACTTCTAGAGCTTTTAGTCTACTGGGCAATGTTGCCTTGCAGGTGATGTCATAGTGTAGTTTATCTAAGTATAGGAAAAATTTATTCCCAGGCAAAATCTTTTCTCATTCTGAAATTTGGAAACCCAATATACTTGTCAGACCTTCATATCAAACACACAATTGGAGCATCACCTGGTGGGTTTGTCTGAGTTGTTATAAATTGATAAGAGAAATGTATAGAGAAAAATTGTTAAAACAAAGTGGATTAGTACTGGTGCAATTTTCTGTTAAAGTAGTGGGACAGACCAATGCCACTTCAGCAATGCAGAAAGTTCTTAATTTGAATCCTTCTTTTATGTCAGTGCTATGATATGGAGTATTTTTTTTTATTTTTTTATTACATGTTTCCAGCACGACCACCCCTTTGGTATTTGCTATATTATTGTTATTTTTAATTATAAGTTTCTGAGTAGAAGTATTTGCCTTACAGTTGTCTGAACACCCAAATTAAATCTATCATTAATTATTTCATTATAATTCTCACTACTTACTAGAAGCTTTGTGTAAAAAATCTTATCTTACCTGTTCCTGAAAATAAGAACAAAGGGAATGTATGCTTGTCTTCCTTTTCCCTTTTTCATTTTCCCTTGTAGCTGAAAAAGAGCACTGCTCACTTAGAAGCTTCCTGGTGCCCAATACAATATAAGATTGATTCCCTTAACTCCAAACTAATTATGGTTTAATTCTCTATTTAATTGAGCCAAGCATCTCACATGAACCACTGAAACCAAACCATATGAAAAATTATGTGTGATTTAGCTCTTAATTTTGAAGGTCAAAACACTGAGGCAGACCTGAATAATGTTAACATTTCTGAGGTGTGTTTGAGTAATGATTTACGGCTAACAAACAACTTGCTAAGATTTGTCACCTTCCCCACAAATGCAGCCTTCTGTAAAGGGTCTGAGCTCTGTGGAAGTCTTTAATTTGAAAGATAGCAGAGTCTATGGTGCCATGATTTTCCCTGGCACCAAAAGGATAACAGCATGTGGATGGATGGATGGATGGATGGATGGATGGATGGATGGATGGATGGATGGATTGCAGGAAGGAATATAGAACAATTACTCTTTCCACAGACAGGCACTAGAAATGAAGCAAGTAAATTCCTTGGGAGCATGGTTTTTCCCTGCCACACAAAACCAGAGAAGAGCTGGTAGCTCTTCTTCCCAGAATTCAGAGAACTACTGAACCTTTATTTAGTTATGTCTACCAGGTGCAACACCGTGTCTTGGTGTCAGAGGCACAGCAGGTCAGTATATCACTCATACTTTAAAAAGTAAGACCTCTCTTAGGAATGATTTGGCAGCTAAAAAGGAGACAACACTCTTCTCCATTACTCAAAAAAGAAGATTAAAATGAAAAGGTTTTTGCATTTATGGAATCCTAGATGTTAAAATAATTCCAGGTCTTTCTGCCAGTCTGCTCAGATTTCAGCCCAGTGAACACAAAGACTGGAAACTGACAGCCAAGTCACCCATTATCTTTCCTCACATGTTCACTAATTAATTGCGACAGTAATTCCTGAAATCCCTGTCAAATGCGTTGGAGGCAAGAAAGGTGCATGGGTTGTATTTCTTACCTATCTTCCCTCTCCTCAGGCCAAAAACATACCCACAACCACTCATGGAATTTTATTAATAACAGTTCTCCTTTTGTTTTCCGAGTACAGAGTCCTGCCCCAATTTATTGAAAGACTAAGAGACAAATCTATTTTTAAATTGTCAATTGTGTAGACCAAGTGATGCAGAAACTAATTTCCCTCATTCTTTTAGAGCCTATGAGAGTCCACAGAACCCAGATAACATTTGGATTTTGTAACATAAAAAATAAATCCCAAAGTTGATTATACTCTCCTAGCAGTTACAGTCCTAAAGACAAATAATGTATGAACAAAATACAGGAAGCTAATTCTAAGCCTCACAGAATTACTGCTCTAATTCTCCCTCACTCTCTCTCTTTAGGCTCCCCCTCTTACAAACACAGCAGTAGGAAAGAAGACTTGCAGGGATAAAAAGGCACTGCTGTTAAAACTATTATTAAAACACCACATGGGATGCTCAGCCAATTGTGGCATCTGAGTGTAGTCTGTCTTTGTTTACATACATGCTAAATTGTTACAAAAAGCATAACATCAGCAAAACCAAGATGGAGATGTCTTAGTTCTTTGTACATTGGAAGATCTTAATATTTAAGAAAAAAGAAAAAAAAAAGAAAAAAAAAAAGAGCAGAAAAAATCTTTTAATTTTAAGGTCAATAAAAGAAAAAGTAAAAGGAAAAATAAAACACAAAATAAAACACAATTTATCTACCTTAAGTGAGTTTTTTGGCATCAGCTGATGTTTAATTAAAAAGCACTACAAGTTATCAGACTAGATCTGAAGATGTAAAAATAAAAGTATAGAAATAGGGAAAATAAGCTTTGGTAATACACAGGTTTCACAGTGGGGTAGGGCGCTACCTCAGTATGAATGTCATTTCTAAATAAACGGGTAACAGCACCACGTTACAGAAGCACACATGAGAGTTAAACAGATCAAATGCAGAGCCTCCCTGTTATTTTGTTAGCCTTAGGGAAAAAATTTGCTGTCTGCAGGTTCCCTGACTTCTTCCTACATTTACTCCCTTACCTCCGTTCTCTGCTCCTCTCTTTCTTTTGTTCTTTCCACACAGACTAACACAAGAAAGATGCTGAAAAGAGATTCCAGCATCAGAGAAGGTGTAAAACCTAAGCCTTGGAATAGGGGTATCATAAAAAGATCACCAAGCCATTAATTCTTCAAGTGGGGGAAGGGAAGGAGAAAACTTTAGAAATATAAAGAAGCAGAAGAAAAAAAAGTATTTCTGTATGTTATTGTAGCAAAGAGAGTCTCCACTGATTAATCTTCATTCTTCTGGAAGTATTCCACATTGTTAAAAGGGTAAATTGCAAAACATTCTTTACCTTCAGCTGCTCCCCTTCTGCCAAAAAGACACAGCATTCAAATATGTCTATGGGAGTCTATGAAATCAAAAATCTTTATGCACCCACCAGTGCCTAAAGACAGAATGTGCCTTCAGGGCTGGGGTTTCAACAGTCACACCAAACACAAGGACAAAGCACCCTGGCAGAGTAGATGGCTAGTGTGACACAACCTTGTGAGACTCAATCTCATGCATATTTGTAGAGAAACACGATGTACTTGTCTGTCAGCCTGCCCACCACAGAGGCTGTCATCCTACAGGTATGACAGACTTCATTTTGGAAGCCAATAGAGCCTTTTTGACAGAATGTAAAAAACAAAATTACATTTTCTTGATGCTTTGGTTTGAATTTCCATAAATTCTAAGAAAATCAGAAGCAGAAAGCAGGTTTTTCTAGAAAAAAAATCAACAATTTTATTTACTCTTCAAGCACAGTTTCAAAACTCAGGTTTAGGATTAACTCCTTAATGATCCATCTTTTTCCCTAAAAATAATTTATCTACTCCACGTAAAACAGCGGTAGACAAAACACAATGCAAAAACAGATTCTGAATTGACTTGGTCCCAGTTCTTTCCTAAAAAGGGCACAACTCAATGTAAGTTTCTAACACCTATTAATTATAGGTCCTGTGACCCATGAGACAAGCACAAGCTCACCTATTTAATTTCATTCATAAAAACCTGCTACATGATAAATTAGGATGTTAGAAAAAGACAACAGGAACTTTACTAATTTGAACAAATGCTGCTTAAGATTGTCAACAAGGAAGGCATTAGAAAACAATCAAACAACATTTTGAAGGGTATCAGGGCCTTGAAGTTAATGACAACATCAAAAATAGAGGGTGGTACTGAAAGAGAAGAATTCTACTCAAAAGAGAGTGATGGATGAATAATATGAACTCAGTGAGGGCTAAATGACAATTTAAGGGAAGAACCTTGCTAGGCTTAATTTAAACAGATTCTAGAAATACTCATTGATATCGTGAAATCATTAATAGCAAACCAAATGCATCTGTTCTGTCTTTGTGCAGTTACCTAGACTACAATTCTTGACACCACTGTTCTGTAATAACCTCCATCTGCTCTGCTGTCTCTGTCATTTCTTTTGCTGTAACATATTGTGACAGAGGCTTCATTTACCTAAACTTATCTTGGCAACTTGTACTTCATTAAAGAGAATCCTGCAAGCATCAGTTAAAGCTTTCTTATCTGGCCAAGCATAGCTAAGCTTCATAAATCATTCTTTCACTTTCCATTTTGCAGCTTCTGGAAAGGTAACATTATTGAATTCAGATCACTGGAATAGAGCAGTACTAAAATGTTTATTGACCAGCTTTTAGGCACTGAGCTCTGCTTTGAATGCAGACAGTAATATTAGCTAAAGCTTTTGAATTTAAAAAGGATGTCACTAATATGTTTTATACATTGCTATAAATACTGTTTGATGGCAGGCCACTTTAGCAAGCTGCTACTAATACAGCAGAAACAAAGTATTATTAACATATATTCCCTCCCTTTTTGTCCTTTTAACCATAGCATCTGCAAATATAGTATTATATATTCATAGATCTAAGACCTCAATCACAGCTCAGTAGTGCAGAATGTATCTGACAAAGGCAACAGCAATGTGCAAAGGGACCTTAGACCAACCTTTATATTCCCATCAGATCGGTCTGGCATGGCACCAGGACAGCACTTGGTGCAAGTCACAGCAGCTGGGGAAGTGCCAGTGGTTACTTGTTTCTAACACAAGAGAATTAGTGGGTTTCTACCTCTATCCAGACTCCTATTCCTATGTAGGAATCATGCGATAACTAGCAGTATGTATACCGCACGCAGAATTACTTCATGATAAGAATAATTTGTTAGTAGAATAAAAATAATGACGAGCCTCTTTACAGACAGAGCTATTCACTTTTGCATCAGATTCAGAAGAGAGCCATGCTGTGCTGGCTGATGAGTCAAATCACAAATGCTGAGCTATAATGGAGTGGGATGAAAGGAATAGGGAGGACTATATTTGCCAGACAAAACTTAAATCAAGATAGAAAGGCATCGTTTCAGATAAAATTCAGAAAATAATTTGGATTTAATATTTCTTATATAAAATAACTATCACACCTGAACATTCTGGTGACAGTAAAATACAGTGGTTTAACAGTTAAGTTTGAACAGTTTTAACAATGAACAGTCCAGGAACCTCAGAAATGAGTAGGATGTGGGTCACTTGGATTCAAACTGTCCCTTGATCCACAACAACAGCCTGAACTGACATGCCACGCTGTGAGAGCACTAGTGGGCTAGAGGGAATTTGGGAACACGATTCTCCTGGTAACATGGTCTATTTTATCTTAAATAAGTATTATGTAGCCCAGAGAGAAAAGAAAGTACATGAAGGTCAACAAAAGACATCCTTTAAGCAAACTAAATTTAATTATCTTTCATAGTTTATAAAAAGACAAATTATCACTTCCTTGGAAGCTAGACAACCTCCAATGACAAGGAAAAGATCTGTGGGGGCAGTGAGTTACATTTCAGTGGGGTAATGTTATAAATCCTGAGCTATCCAGACAGCACTGAGAGGCTTCCAGTAGCAGCTGCCTTTTGCCCTTAAAATGTCCTGATAATT